TGAGAAAAAAATGATGAAGTGAGAAGATGAAGAATTACTTTGATGGGAGTAACTTGGGTAATTGAAGTCTCACGATAGATTCTTTTTGAGCGCATAGTGGCTAGGTTTCTGTTGTTTCATGATGATAGCCTCAACAAACCCAAAAATACTTGGACTGTTGTGTCAGTTAATTATTTTCAGTGCTACTATTTGGAGAATTTTCTTACTTAATTTTTTTCATTTTTCTACTGACTTTCATAGTAAACTTGATTTTTTATCCTTTAAATTACACTCGTTCTATAACACTATCATCTTCTTAATCGACTTTGTATACACAAACATTTTGATCCTCCAGTCTTTTGAGTTCAGATCATTGATTTCTCTTATGTCTGATTTAAAAATAACCACCAAATTATCATCACCCTAACGACAAAACTCTTCATATATATGTACTCATAATCCGAGATAATCTCATCAATTATTATTATTATTCCGTTGAGTTTTGAGTGGAATATTGGGCTTCAACAACACATCTCCACTTAACCCTGTTTTGTGCTATTCTTTTCAGCTTTGTCCGGGATTTCCGATCTCTCATCTGCTTCTTGTACGATATCATCCATGTCATCCTCGCACCGATGACTCATTCGTTTCCTCCTGTCAGGGTTTATCTCGAGTGATAGCTTGGCGTGCGACGTCATTTTACGGCCTTCTCAGTGTATGCCCAACTCATCTGTATTTTATTGTAGATATTTGTTGAGCGATCGGCTGTTGGTTAGTTCGTTCCACTGTAGAGTTTCTTGTTGCTAATTCTTTTTGTCAGGTCATTTGATCTTCAATATGGATCAAGAGAAGGCAGCTGTTGATAAAATCCTGTAGCTTGTTCGAAATCCTTTTCGTGACCAATTGGTCAAGTTACTGGCCCACTTAAAGAACTGACTGACCTAAGACTGGTGATCCAGTGTATTCCCGTCTCTTTGCTCCCACATACAGTCTGACTCATAATCAAGTCCACCATACTTAACAATATCAAACTGCTAAAGAAACTTCAACCTTATCATGCTTATGTTTTATCTCACTATGACTGTCTTACAACAGTCTTCACTGGGACAATGAGTCATGATGATAAATAAAATATATATTGAAATTGTATTATAACTGATTTTATTAAATATTATTGGATTTACCCAGCTGAAAAGAAGCGATGAAATAGAGTGGATCCATATAATTTTGCATCAATCTTTCCTCTGTCTCTGTTCAGATTTAAAGAAGAGAAATTCGTATGTGATCTTCTGTGTGAACTAAACAGCCTACTTTACATTGAATTTAGTACTGAATATACTATTCTGGAAGACAGTAGATGCTCCGTACTTCTACCACTCAGTTAAGAGAACTCAAACACACCGAAAACATACATCTTGGCCAAAGATCTTCCCCACTTTTACGGAATTTAAGTGTCTCGTTTACACACTATGTACCATGAAAATTCGCTAGGAGAAACAGGTTAACATACGATGAAAAGTAAAGCAGTCAATTTTGAAGATAAATATCGAAGGTATTAATGAGGAAATTTATCAAGACGTTGCAACAACATTCTGAGATCACTGTGAAGTTAAACGTTTCCATAAAACCACGTTTTTTTTGGAAAATTTCTTGACTTATTAAGTAGTTCCCATTAATCGTCAAATGTCTTGTTCAAAGATTTCATGGAAAAAATGTATTTTGTCATTGCCGTCACTGACTACACGCAACATTTCGGTTCTCTAAATTGAATGTTCACAAACTGAGATTGTCATTCGGTGTACTTTCAACCTGGTTAAGTTATTTGAACGCGAATAACCGGGGCTGATATATCAAACAGGCCTAATGTATCAGGCCTGATTATACTAAGCAGGGGTCCAGGAGGACTTAGGGGGAGTGTTTCAGGCATGTGGTTTTGGAGCTTTTTACGATGATGGGACTACTAGCCTCAAGCCCTATTTTCCTTCATTACTGGGCTTACCACCGGGATAAGTGAGTCGATGGGGGGGCACACTGGCTGAGAATCTAACCGCATAGCAAGTGTGTAGGCGGTGGGCATTCTACTGCTGAACCACTGATGCAATATATTTTACTCAATAAGTTTTCGAACAGGCTTCAAACTTTAATCGATAGCTGTTTTTGTTGCCTCGATTGTGAATACCAAATGACCATCCAGAAAAGATAAGCAGGCAACACTGAACTCCGGTAACTTAACCAAGAAACTGTTGCCCTTCAGATATGCAGACTGAAATGGAGATAAATTTCGCAAACTCTAAGTAGACCGCTCAGTGCAATCTTGCTTCAGGCATTCGGATGAGTGGAAACTGAATGGGAAACAACGAGCTGGGTGTCCGCCGGATAGTGACATGGAGGAGATCTTGTGAGGAGGAGATCAAATCTAATGGGTTATCCCTTATTCGGCTAAAAATGACTGCAGAGAATCGGATCAGATGGAGATATGCTGTTGAAACCCTACGTTTTACTGGGAAACCAAGGGAATCATAATAATAACTTGATAAATTCTTCAATGAGTACTTTCACGGATAACCAAGACTTATTCATCACAAGTGTTCATTTACTGTTTATTCGATTACTAGCACAAATTTCATCTTGGTTGTTGTTGTTCTACTTTATCTACATAAGTAATACCAATAAGTTTTCAGCAGGCATCAAGGGACGCCAGTGATAAGAACACAGTACACAATAATACCACATTGATTGACTAAAAGTTTAGTTATTTATTTAACCTTAATATCTGAAACGCCTCATTATAATCAAGTAACATCATCAACGCCATCATCAGCACTAGTGATAACAACAACAATAATAACAATAATAATCAACCAAGTTATTTAGTCCTACATTTTATTATTACCAATAGGCTTTGCTTTTTATTTAAGGATCAGATTACTAAAGTTTTGGCAACACAGCAGGTGATATTAATTAATTTATTACTTTATAATTCAGTAAACTCGTGTGGTCATCACTAACTAGTCAAGCATGAATTATATCAGCATGAGATGAATCAACGCTGAATTCAGTTCAAATTTTTCTATATAAATATTTTAAGTTGCCATACCCATGGAGTATAAAGCGCTGGTACACACTGACACTGATAACAGTTTCTTTTAAGTTTAAATAATGATAATGATAATTGCAAGATATTGTATGCTACTGACAAATATGAGAAACTGTTAGCCACTGACATCAAACAGTAGTGTTCGATAGTTAGATCACTGTAATAAAAAATGATCGCCGTATTCGGTAAAGGTGAAACTCATCAATGATATATTCTTAGGGATTTAGCTCAAAAGGAAATCTCAGTTTTGATCACGAATTGACTTCAGTCAGACAGCCATTCTAAACTATAGAGTACTAGGTGGCTGTTTCGTCATAGTTTGGGGCTTTCAGCAGTGTGCACCCGTGACGCCATCAGGTTACAAAACGAACTCGTGTACCACTCAGAAATTGGGACGAAATCCAGTTGCGAGTCAACACAAACTTCCGCCAAATCCCTAAGCATAGCTCCGGCATTATCCAATGTCATCGGTAAGTACGTGTCCTCACGCCCAGCCTGGTGTACCGTGCTGATTATGAATTCCAACTGGAAGGGTGGTGAAAAGTGAGTTGTTTCAGTTTAGATTTATTAGATATATACACCTTATTAGACTGATGTTAAAATTCACTAAAACTATTGCGAATGGCAAGGAAAGGATCAGTTATACGCTGGAAACTCTGTGAATGTGACTAAACAAAAAGTCAAAATCCACTTTGCTGTTGGGTATTTTCTAGCATAACTAAAAGTATTTTTGATGTGTAAATGATTCTTTCACTGTTACTTTTCATGAAATAGTGTTCAGTGAATATTGATTTTCCAGTAACTGTAGCTATCATTCAAAGAGATAAGAACATGAAGTATTCAGCCAGGAAATTTCTCAACTAACAGACTCTTATTCAGATGTTTAGAAGGGAAGAACAGATGATCTCTACTCAAATTGCGACAGCTTCCATACAGCCATTTGTTTAAGTTACTGTTCTGTGGAGTGAAACGAACATGTTCAGTAGGTAAATTTAACAGTGAACTTACTTTACATGAGAAATGCCTAAAAGCAACCACCCATAAAGTTAAAACAACCAATAGGACAAGAAAGAACATAAAGAAAACCCATTTTCAGTCAAAGATATTCGTGTTATGAAAAAGACAAACAAACGTCTAACTACAGCACTAACTGCGACACATCCAGAGGCAAAACTGGTATCTCAACTCCAAATATCTTGTTTGCTGGCATAGTTCAAAATCAACAAGCATCCCCTCATATTTTACCTGCAGCTATGTTTCTCCCTCCGGGTGCAACTGAGGGAGCAGAACACATAGAGGCACTGAACACCGAGTTGGCCCACTAGGAGCAGTCAAAATAATTAGCAGACAAAACAATCAAAGTCTTTCTTGGCTTGCTGAAGCTATTTCAGAAAAACGACTAAAAACCTACGTGTTTTAAATGAATCTGTAGTGGGACCTTAATTACTCTGATTTTCCAACCTAGAGTTTCTCTGAACACTCAACGATTACTGATTTGTCATCATCCTGAGAACAGATATGTTAATTTTTAAGAGTAACTAAGCTTTTACGTAATATATCTATATACTCATAATTTAAGGCAACCTTATCATTATGTTTCCTGTTTCACCATGATTTTTTTAAACAATTCTTAAAGGAAGGTTGACTGCAGATGTTAAACAGAATCTGTGTTGAAATCGTTTTGCTAAGTTGTACACAGTTGACCAGAACCGATGGAATAAAATGAATCCATAGTATTCTGCACCAATGTCTCCTCTATCTGAGTTCAAACTCATATATGAAATAAGTAGTAAACGAGAAAAATATTCCTTTTTATTGGACACTTCGTGCCATAAAACATTCAGTAGTATGGAGCAAAGAGGAAAGGGGAAATAAAATAATTTTAACATATGAAGACGAATACTATTACTTTTGTTTGACTCACCTGCATATCATCCGGTGAAACGCGGTTCATTTCTTCTCCATTACCAAGTGAATTACCATTTTCTTTTGTTTCTTCACTATCTTTAACAAGATTATTATCCGCATTGATGAGGATAGAATGATTTCTTGGACCTACAATTTCATATGCTCTGTTTAACATTGATAACAGTGTAACAGTTGAATTAACAGTACACGTATTTGTTCTGGTCGTACTATTTACTGGTACATTAGAACCTGAATATCGTTTTCCAGTGATTGATGTTACATTTGGTGATATACTGTTTCGTTTGTGAAGAAAGTTATGTAAGGGTAGTAAACTTTTATTCATATTACTATCTCCATAACAATTGGCTATTCCACCATGTTCATTCAAATGACATCTTGCTTTAGATGACAAACGACCTCGACGACCTTTAAGACTGTCTCGGCGAACAACTAGTTAAAAAAGAAAAATCAATAAATAATTTTCTTTTCAAACAATAGGACATTAAGATAGTTATAGTAGAAAAGAACATTGTAACATTAAAACATTCTCTTCAATGTTCATTCAAATAAAATTTGCTTAGGTTGAGAAAAACTGAAATGGCTTTAAAATTTGTTTTGATTTGTGCAAGTTACGTTCATTTTAGAACATTTTGAGTAAGGTAAACTACAAAGGGATTATTGTAACTCCCTTCGATGCACTTGAATTTCGCTGAAAAAGTGACCATATTTTGATAAGGATAGTGACGTATTCGTAGACAGATACGAGTAGTAGGATATCACTCATATCAACTAGTGATGCTTTCTGGCAAAATCAAAACAATTTAAAAGTCCACATGACTATTTCGCTCGTTTAAGACCGAGCATATTGTCGGCCTACTTAAATTGACTCAGTTTGGAGAGTTGAGCCATTTCAAACTACTCGAAATCTGGCAAGCCATGCATGTTATCAAGACGATCACACACGTTTAAATAAAAAATTTTCATTTAAGAAGAAAACGGCAATGGAATTCCTCTTCAAATTGTATAATCCTCAAATTCCAAATATCATTTTGTGTGTTACCATTTCTCTTGGGTAGCTAGGCAGAATTCAGGTGTTAAAATTGCTTCTGCTTTGTCAGTTAGGTCGAAATAGAATACACGGCTGATGAGATACGTTTCAAATGAGTGGAATAGCTGATAAGTATTTTGATAATTTTAATCTGGCTAACAAACACTACTGGCTGTTTGATGTATGTGGCACTCAGCTAATCATATCAATGAGTTAGTAGTATATATCTTTATGGAAATATTCTTCCTTTCTTGATTAGCATTTGTGGTATCAAGCAGGTCACATTTTGACAACTGAATAATTTAGGATTCTCAGGAAACCTGTGGTTAAATTTCACCTGCATAAACTGCATAAATTGTAAATTACGTTCATATTTACACTGTAACATGCTGAAAGCTGAAGTGAATCTTTTGTACACTAGAACGTGATCTGAGCCAACAGTATGAAGCATATAAAAACTATGGTAAAAAGAAAACGCCTCAATCAACTAAAAGGTTACCCGACCAATAATAATTATATTGTTGGTACGAAACGTCAATAATGATATGATGGATACCATAAAATATTGTATCACACAAACTGCAGTTTTCGTGATTCCGATTTCTCGAACGGAAGAGCACAACAAACATGTACAAATTACAGATTACAAAAGAGCTTCCTGTTAAACATCCTCAAAGAATTTATGAGAGTCAAGTCAATGTAGCTATCTAACCTGGTAAAAGACTTAACCGGTACAATTTGTCAGCAATTTAGATCACCATAACACAATATAATGTAATATCTTTCTTAAATTTTGAATAAGATACTGTTTAGGAAAAAAGTAAGATATTTATACCATGCATATTGATGCCAGTAAGTGAAGTGGATAGTTTCTTCAAGAAATGTTTGCGTGCATTTTATTCCTATTTTCCAAATGGGACACAGAGATGCATGCATTTAAAGTTCCATCAGTGATGGTATCTCTTTTACAGGGTAGATTTGCTACCATTATGCCCAACCGTCTTTGTTTTGCCGGGATGCGAACCTATACCTCTAACGTGTCTGCTGGTCATTTTACCATTATACTTTTGATGTTCATTTTGAACTGTAGTTTACAACAGTTGGCAGTAATGTTGTTTCAGTTAGTCTCGCAACAACGTTATACATCAGATGAACAGATTCTGACAAATACTGAGGACTAGACAATGAATCTGGTAACTATTAAGTGACTTATTTACATGAACATTTTTTGAAAACATACACCAAAGTCTTTATTAAGCACTGTCGCAGTTCTTCTTGGCATGGTATATAAAAGGTTCAGTTTATATAAAAGGTGAAACTTGACTTTAGTATTCTGTATAAATTCTAAAATATAAAATCTTCTTTTAAAATATTTGTGTTTATGTGTTTTTCTGCCATTCTTTTCCAGCTGAAGTTTTTTTGTAGGACTCATGAGGAATCTTCGTTACCCATTGAAAAATATATACGAGGTGCCAATTATATTCCTTTAGTTGGTATGCTTCTGATTGATAAGCATAGCTGAGCCATTTGCCATAATCATTTTTCACCTCAGTCTTTGTACTCCCTCCAACGGCCTTCAATCTCATCCATGGATTATCACCCCTGCGACAACTTTTAACTGCATATATTATTTTATTTTTATTTGTACCTCTAACTTCATTATGAATGTCAATGTTAGAGTTGCAGTTTATTATTAATATTGTCATTATTGTAATTTTAATTACACTTTCATGGATTATACTGGATTCCTTGGTTACAGGGTTTCATCACGAGCTGACATCGGTTAGATAATAATTGGAAGTCCTGCTAGTACTGGATAGCCGTTTCGTCCTAGTTCAGGACTCTCCACAGTATACACCCACCGCCAGAGTTTTAATTGAGGACCTTCCCGTTGCAGGGCCTGATAGTTGGTAAACCATCAAGGCACTGGCACTTGATCAAACGGCACATGAATTTCAACTTCCGCCAACTGATGACATAGTGCCACCACTAGCTAATATCTTCGGCGGGTATTTATCTTCACACCCGACCAGCTATACCCTACTGGTCACGAATATATATATTGGATTCTGTTGATTCACACTGTTTCAAGTGTCTATGCCTGATACTTTATTATGTAATTGTAAAGCCTGACGTGAACTAGACGAAAATGCGTTTTTTTTTTTACTTAAAAGGTGTTCTATAGTTATATCAATGGAGATTTTTAAAATATTGCGGAATCATAGAAATAGAGATTAGATAATTATTGTGTCACTGTCATTGAAACGTTGAATTATACAATTAAGCACACGTGGTCAAACCTTCAATTTCCTGGATGATGCACTACTAGACTCCACTAGTCCGGTAGTAAGCCTGATAGAGAGTAAAGGTTGGATGTGACGCTAGCAGCCCCATAGCGAAAAAATATCATAACACCACTGCAGCGCAAATTCCACAGCTGAAACTTGAAGCCGTAAATTCTAATTGGAGCGCAACAAAATAAATCGCTGTTATTAGATGGTTAGAATGTAATCGGTAGGAAGCCTTGGCAAAGCTATGTTTCATACTTGCTGGAGCTCACCACTCAGAAAGGTGTATTTGCAATCTGGAAAGAACTCATATCTCCTTTGAGGTGTGAAGCCGTGTCCTAGAATTTCATTAAAAGATGTTACCACTAGACTATTGGGACTCGTGGTTAATCTCCGGTAGACCAATACTAGATAGTTTGATTGAACACTAGGTAGTAAGTAACTAATGTCGTTTGTCTAACCCTTTGTTTGGTGCGGACTGAATTCTCTCAGTCTACTACTGATACGCTGAGTTCGCTGCTACTAGTTAGTTTCGCCTACTCCGTAAGTAAGTTATTTCAAACTTAGATAATGAGAAAGTTTTGGGATTTTCTAGGTAGTAATTTTAAGAAAATGTAAATTACAGAATACAAAGATGACTCTCGGTGGTCCGGGTCTCAGGATTCAAACCAGCAGCCCACTAGCATCAGAGCAGTTCGATTCCACCCTTCTGTCATGTGAATGGAGGCTTAAACTTGCTAAGTTTACTAGCTAGCTAGTTTTCTAGCCTGCTATAAGCCGGGGAAAAGAAGGAGGGTTGGGGGCGGCCTGGCGACTTGACCTCGGAAGATTAATCAAACTGCCACAGAAACTTCAAAGTACAAGAAAAAAATTAAAGATGCAGAAAGATTTTTAAAAAACTTATTTTACTCTGGGACCAGAGAGACGGAGTGATGCTGACTAGTGAAAGCCTTAAGGAAGCTACTCAACCTGCCGATGTGTCTTCCATCAACAAAGGGAAAAACAAGCATTGGGACACGAAGTGTTTGCACAATGTTCAAAACTGAGAAGGCTGCTCAGATTGCCAAAGGAATGAGAAGATTAGGTATAGAAGTTTTAAGAATCTGAGAAAGCAGTGGAAGTGGATGTAGACTGTCAAAACTGTGGAGTGGAAAGTCAGTAATTTACTTTGGTCACTAAGATGACAGGCATGAGTACTCTGAGAGAGTGGCTATCATGATTCCACCGAAAGCAGCTAAAGCTCTTATGTTGTTGGAACCAATTTCATCCAAGATTATGATGGCATGTTTCAACTCAGAAGGAAGGGAGATCACAATTATCCGATGATACGCGCCTACAAACAACTTGTAACAAGACAAGAAGAAAAATTTGTACAGATAACTGCAAAAACTAGTGGACAACATCCCAAATGGTGGAATCAAAATCCTAATGGAAGATAGTGTTAAAATGTGAGTAGACAAAACGGTAGGAGAACTCATCATGATCGAGAGGCCGTCGTACGGCGAAATGAATGATAACGCAGAACATCTCTCAGACTACTGCTCTTTTAATTATTTGGCGATCGGAGGCAGCCTTTACAAGCACAAGGATATACACAAGGCTACATAAGTTTCACCTGACTTACACACCACAAATCAAATTTCATATCAATTTCAAGGGAGTGGAGACGCGGCCTGCTGGATGCAAAATCGTGAAGGGGAGCAGATGTGGGCTATTTCAAGGAACCTTCAAGGTGAAGCTGAAAGCCTTCAAAGCCACCAGAGACAGAACACAATTCAAGTTCAAAACTCACCACTCAGGAAATGGAGCCTGAGCTTACAAAAGATAACTCCATTGTAGCTATCGAAGCAAAGTCGTAGACAATAAGTGGCATCACCGAGGAAGCCTGTATGAAAGAACATAGGAACTCTCTGAAGGTGATGTTCAAGGAAACGTATACAACTGTTCTAGGAAAAAGGAAGAAACAAGACAGTAAATGCCTGCCAACGGATACCTAGAAGCTACATAGAGGGGAAGAGGATGGTGAAAGTGAAAGTAACTCAATGCAAAGATTGATAACAGGAGAAGCTGTGCACACTATACATCACACTGAATAAAGGAGTGAAAAAGAGTGC